CATCGAAGTCTGATTTTTTCATTTCAGCAATCATGGTTTCTCTTTCTTAGATTCCGTGTACCTTTATCATTCTGTCTGCATTATCCCTTAACTACTTTCCTCAAAATCTATTGATTGATTTTTTGAAAAAATATAATATCAAATACCCCTCTGATTTACATCAAATTCTTCTCTATCGAAGTGCATAAAATTGTAAACAAAATTCAATCATTCATCAAATCTAGAACAGAATTGTTAAATAGCAAGATAGTAAAAATAGAGAGCATAACTGGTTTGATATTCATCGGATGAGTTCTCTTTTCTGTTCGCTTCATATAAAAGCTCTCTCAGATAGCGCTTATGCTTGCTTCCTTACTCAATGTATTTTCGACAAAGATAACCACAGTGAAAAAAGCTTTCAGCACAATCACTGCGGGATTAAAATATGAAACACGATAAAACTGTTTCGAACAGAGATGATGTGCCTTCGAATTTAAGCAATAATTCGCCACGAAATCAGCAGACATAATATTTAGCCTCAGGGATTCCATGTCAATCGAAAACCGAAAATTTCAGCAGTTCATGGTTCAGATTTTCATGAGAAAGTGGTTCGAAAGATCATAATAGAATAGTTTAAAGATCCATAATAGCATGGGCAAAAAACATATGATTGAAAGATCTAAAAATCACTAATAATATGGTAAGAAAGGCAATAATAGAATGCGACATGCCTGTTACGGTCTGTAAGACGAGGTGTAGGGTTCACTTTTTTCGCTCTAATCTTCAAAACTCATTTTCAATCATTGTTCATAAGATTTTTATTCGTAAAATTCAAAAACTGCCATCTTTTCAGTTAGAACAAGGTGATTGGTTTGATGATTTGAGAAATGGTGCGTTAGTGGCAGTGGACGAATGGCTCTTCGAAATTTTATTTCGATGACTACCATCTCTAATGATGCAAACCGATAAATAACTCACCTATCGACGTGTTCGAATGATTTGTCGGAAAAAAATGTTCGCTCTTGTCTACAATGAAAGCACACTGACCTTTTACAGTTCATTTACTTTTTCGGATATGTACCAAATGACAATCGTTTGACAACGATAGGGATCACAATAAGACTGATTACACTGATGGTAACAATTATGCCCATTATTCCACCGCGCCGATTATTTCTCCACCACCGATTGAAGAAGCGTTTATTGACGATCACTGTAACTGGTTGCTCGCCAGTGACCTATCTTGTAATAAATTGTCAAATAAAAACAAAAGAGTACAACATACTTCTATCTCAATCGCTGGTTGAACAGAGGAAGTGACCGTTGTTGGTTGAATATTGGGTATATACCTATTAACGAATCAGAAATTGTCAATGGCCATAATAGCAAAAGAAAAATAATCAGCTCACGTTTGAACAGCTGTTGAGCCTGTCTTTCGAACAAAACTGATTAGGTAAGTATATACAATCACTAGTAAAGGACAGATGAGACGAAAAACAACAATTAATCCTCCATATAAACCAATGATTGTTGTCACCGCATAGAGAATGTCTGGTTGTTCAATATATATGTAAGTGCATGTTGAGACTCCACAGGTTCGAAAGAATGCTTCATAGTCATATTGACGAAACCAGTTTTCAACAAAGAGTTTATCGAAGATCGAATCCACTGTAGTGTTAGATGATAAATCGCTTGTCGTGGTGATACTGTTTGGCAATGACATTCTTGTTAGATTGTCGAACAGTGCATGATGTAGTGTATCGAGACATGTCTGGTTAAAGAAGCATTCTAAAGTCGATTGAAGCAATGCTGATGATGGTAAACAACCGATGAGCAAGCCATCAAAGGTCATATTATTAATGGTCATCGGTAACGAGCATTTTAACGAACTGGCACATGAACAATTTCCATACCAAACTGGTTTCGTGCGAACCGTGGAGGAATCTACAATAGGACTCGATTTGAATTGCCAGTTACTCACATAACTCGACATGATTGCATTTCCGTGTGTTGTTGCTAGTAGATAGTCCAGAGAATGTCGAAGAGAGAAAGACATGTCGAGATACGATCGATTAATAGCCGACTCAATTTGTTCATAAAACTGATCATTAGTCAGAGCTTGTGCAGTGATCAATTGTTGATGAAGAAAGAGATTCAGCCAAGTATTCATCGTTTGATTGGCTAACACACAAAAACTGGATAGAAGTGAGAGCTGACCGGCAAGAAATTGTCCTTTAAACGATGTTGATTCAGGTACGACAATCAAGTTATCACCCATTAATGTTTTCAGATAATCTTGTGACAGTAATTGACTGAAACAGATTGGATGATAATTGTCGACCTTAAAAGAAAACCCTTTTTTAATTTATGCGTAGCATTATAACTACATGTGTAGCTTCTATTCTAATCATACTCGCTTGTGCATCTAGAAAAATAGGTTATGGGCTTATTCTACCTTGAGTGAAAGAAATGTTGAGTATGGTATCGATGTTTGTGAACAGGGGCAAGACAAACTCGTTGAGTATTGTTTTTGTAATTTAGCAATAACTTTCGACGACGGTAACTTCACAGTTGCCGTACGCACGTTTTCTATGAATAACATGTAGATAAACACACCCACGACGCTGATTATCAATAAAACGATATAGAGCCATGTTGATATTCGTTCCCGCTGTTCGATATGTGCATGTGGTGACTGAGAGTCGAAAAGGTTGAGAGTCACTAAGAAACGGCGTGCTTTGCTAACAATATTAATTCTCATGTTGGTAATCTTTGTTGATGATTCATCTTGATAAATGAAAAAGACAATAAATTCATCTGAATATAACATACACAGGGGAATGATCACTCAATGACTTACTTGATGTCGTTGCAGAGGGACCATATCGCAGTCTAATATAGAGTTTGATCAACAATGGACAGATAATTCGAAGTACCACTGACAATCCACCAAAAACAGCTGCCAACGTTGTTACAGTATAAAGCCAATTGAGTCGACGAAAATAAGTGTAGGTGCATGTCAAAGGTTTGCAAGTATTGTAATAAGCTTCATAATTAGTCATATTTGTCCACTTTTCTATCATCAATTGGTCGGTAATATCACCGAGAGTAGTTGTCGGAGAAAAACGAATCAATTCGTTCATGTTCAGTGGTTCAATACGTAGTTCTACTGGAAAAGGTATCAAATGAGAATAAACAAGCGAAATACAAGTCTCATTGAACCAACATTCAAGTGTAGACCTTCGGAGTCCATCCAACGGATAACATGCACTGTACATGCCTGGAATTTCGACAATCAAGTCAAATATTTGACCATCACTGCTCATATTCAAGAAGGCCAAGGGTTGACTACATGTATCAAGTAAACAGGAACATGAAGGTCTCCTGTCATTTATCGATGACATTGTTCCCAAATATGTTCGCACACTCGTCAGATGACCATTACTGTCGAAGAGTCCATCAAAGAAAAAGTTCGAAACTCTACTACTAAGAACTTGGTTTCCTCGAGTGATTTCGCGTGCCAGATGGAATACTTGTTTGAATCTATTCTGAACACTTGATTGAAAGTCGATCATGAGTGCTTGTACTTCGTCATGAAACAGATTACGAGGCAATACTTCAGTGCTAATTAACTCAGTAGCAAGAAAATTAGTCATCGAATCGTTGACTGTACTATTAACTAGCGTGCAAAGTTTGGTAATTGTTCGAAATATATCTAAGCCATATGAGAAAATGTCTAAGTAGTGGTATATAGGTTGTAATAAATCTGAATAACTCAAACGATCTATCCAATCTTCCGAAATAAGATCACTTGAGCATACCTGATGAAAAGTGGGCATCATCGATATGAATTTCGATCGAGAAATGGCAATTTGAGAGCATGAACACAGGCGAGTGACTTTCCCGGTGTGAAAAAGGTTCTCGAATTGATTGACTGTTGGCATCGATATGATAGTTGTTGTCATGTGCTGATCGACTGTAGTGGCAAGCACAATAATCAATGTGAAAACAACTAAGCAACCAATGTAGAGTCGTGTACTGAAAATTTGCTCTCGCACAGCATAAACATCACTGTCTCGCCGAGAGAAAAGATTCAAACTCAATAAAGCGTTTCGGATTTTGATATACCATTGAAAAATCCGTGCGTTAAACGATTGTCGTAGTTCTAAAAGAGGGTACATAAAAAAAGACCACACTTCAATAGTATACCAAAAATTGAAAAAGGGGCTCGAATTATGCTCACGAGTTAGACTGAAACGTAATACTGACTAGTCTTTCTGTGCTAGTACCTTCTGTATGATATGAAACGTCTCCTCCTTCTTGCTACCTGATATTCCGCAACACTAGTTGAAAAGTTATGTCGAGATCGTTCAAGTTTCTATTCTTTAGATGTTTTCAAGATTCGTTCAATAAATTGAAGATTGCTCGTGTTGTCCTCTGTAAATGATTATACTTTGACGTGGGTAGTAGGCGACACGAAGTCAGATTCAACCAAAATACTTCACGTTACGATCGTGGAATTTATTAGTCTTTTCTGACAGATCATATCTCAGGGAAATTGTTGAAAGAAACATCTTAATAGGTGCTCATATTGGTTCACGAAAGATTAGAAATGAAGCCTATAGAATTAGAATGGTTGAAGAGTCGTGGTCAGTACCATGATTTCTACACTACAAGGACGTCGAATAACTACTGATTTCAGTTTCTTTTTTTTCTCTGATAAACTTTTCCATTCACGGTAGACAAAAGTACTACTTTTTTCTTAGAAAAATCTCGTTATGAATATTGAATAGTTTAGTGGTGGAAGAGTTTTTTTTCAAAAATAACATTCTTAAGTTACACACCCGATCGAATCACAAAAAAAGAGTGACCCTCTCGAGTTTCTAGGTCGAAGGGTAGCAGAAGAGTCCTATGACCGTGAAAGATACGTTTCATCATGAATAAAATAGTACACCTTGTATTACGCACTGTGACTAGCTGGTGAAAAAAATAACAATTATTCGAACTGATTGAGATCAGTTTTAGAACATCATAACAGGAGAAAGTGTGTTTATTTTGTCATTCGACAGTCTCACATCTAATACACTTTTCTTACCTGATGGTAGATCACCGACGGGACGTCTTGCTTTTCTTAGAAGAATATATTCTGATATTAGATGAAAAGCATCGACAAGTCGTGGACAAACAAAACGAAGAGCTACGGTAAGTCCACCAAAAAGACCCACAATTGTTGTAATAATGTAGAGAATATTGAATCGTTCTGTATAAGAATAAGAGCATGATAATGGATGACACGCAGTAAAGTAACGAGAATAGTCGATCTGTTTTGACCAGTCTTCGACCATCATTTCATCGACTAGGGCACCGATTGAAGTCGCCGGAATGAATCGTTTCGAAACATTTCTGTTGAGAACATTAAATGAAGTGTCAAAACCCGATAAGTAAGGAATAATTGTATCCAAACAATTCTGAGTATAATAACATTCAAGTGTTGATAGAATCAGTGAGTTTAGTGGTAAACAACCCGCTCGAAATCCGTCTACAAGAAACTCAAATGCTCCCGTATATTGACTAAATGCACCTGGGTCGTCTGATTCGTAGGTCCAGTTCGGAAAAATACCCAGCAGTGCCTCACAATTATAATTAATGTCGCATTGGCAAGACTCCCAAGCGAAGCTTGTTCCATAAAAAAAAGTCATAATATAATAAACTATTTTCATCTTTAACTCAAAATGAGAATCGATGAAGGGTACAGCAGCGGTTTGCAATCCAGAAACCAGAAAATTCCGATCGAAGAATGTGGCAAGTAAACCACGACGTCGTCGTTGTTCACTGCCGACGTTTGCGATGAAGTCACGAGCAAACGCCTCAACCTGAACATGCACTGAATCAGAGCTCAAAAGTATGCCATGACTATTGACGAGTGATGCCGAAGCAAATGTCGCTTTCAATCCATTGGCGATTGCTTGTTTCGAGGATTCACATAAAGTGCGTAAGAGCTGAAATTGAGCGTTACCTATAGATCGAATATCAATTCCAATATAGGAGCTTGCATCTTCATGATATAGAGAGGAAAGCCATCGATCCGATGTGAAATCACTCGAACACACTTGATGAACAATCGGTGTTATACTCACAAAAGTTGAATAGGACACGGAGAGTTGAGAACATGGACACGAGAATGTATCAGGATATGCAATAAGAAGATGTCGATAGTCATCCAGTGATGGATTGTTGACCTTTACTGTATGATACAACTCTTTTTGTGCCGAATAGGTAATAATTACGACCAGTATTGTTGGTAAGAGCACAAGATAGACACGAGTGCTTAGTATTTCTTGTCGTATTTGGTTTTCATCGGTTGAGTAAGTATCGAAGATATTGAGTTGTTTGATAAAATGGATAAGAGCGACGGTCATCGCTACGATGATTCTCGTTCCAAGAGTGAAACAACAAAACTGACGTTTTCAAACACAATAATGAGAACTGAGACGAGAAAACATGCTCAGAAAATTGACTTGTTTCGCTAGTATTTTTGTCCAATCATCGATCTCAGTCGAACAATGACGACAACTCTCTGTGGGAGAAAAAAGGTTTTCTTTTTCTCTAAGCTATTTGTGATATTCCGACACAATTAGTAATATGACTTTTTTAGTCATACAAAACTGTAAATTTTAAACTAATTACTATCTAGGAAAAAAAGCATTTTTTTAGATGAAATTCTTTCTTTTGCCTCTTTCTGGGCAAGCGATTGTAGTTGAGAAAGCTAATATTTTAGCAAGCTTCTGAACTGTTCAAAGTCTTTAAATGTTACAACTGAGAAAGAATCGATTTTTTTCTTTTAAGAAAATGTGAATCGTACGATTTTTGTTGCACACGTTTTTCATCTCTAAAAATATCAGACATGACTGATTTGTGTCTGTTGTATTACCAAAAGCGCAGATTAGTGTGAACGAACAATGAAGACTCGTAATTTAATCAAACTACTTTATCATGATAGTATAATCGATGTCGATGCACTAAATCTAGTCGTAATCAACTTTCAACAACACAACTAATTCATTTCTTGTGAACGACTTAATGTACAAAGCTCGAATTTTATGTTCTGAAATAGTGATTCCAACTATTGTATTGTCACATTTGTTTCTTTATCATTAAATGTTGAACGTGTTTGTTATTGAAACACGGCATTATTCTTCTAACTTCATTTTGCTAAGTTGCCGGTGAGTTGCCAAGGATGGCAAAAGAGCCAACTTTCTTATTCATGCGATTTTTTCTTTACATTTTTTTGTCTCTCCTCAATGCATCTTGGCTAATTTGTTCTATTTTGTCCTAGGTAGCAAGAAGTTTTTGTTATTACTACCGAAGCACATCCCAGAAACATGTATTCAGACTAAAAGGTTCTTATGTTTGGAATATATATTATGTCAAATTTTTCTCTCATTTCTTTTTTTTTCGTATTTTTTCTAGAACTCTTTATTGAGCTCTTTCTCTAATTGTTTTCAAGAAGACAATTTGCATTAGTCCAGTAGTATTCAACAGAGACTGCAAGGAGTCCATTGGCTACCATTGACATTGAAAGTATTGCTTGTTTTTTGTATTTCTATTAATTAAAATATCAAATAAAAACCTTGAAATGAATTATATTTCATGAAAATTCTGTTTATTCATAATGTATTTCTTGGATAAGAAAGAGCAGCATATGTGAATAAGTTGACTTTTTCTGAAAATTTTTTCTATGCTCCGCATCTAGCTCAAAGAGAGATCGAATAAGCTACACTCTAAAAAAAAGGATTTTTACCGAACCTAAAAAGGTTCATTCCGCCGGTGCATGGGAAGATCCTTTTTTGGTTTCGTAAAAGAGGTGGTTTTGTACTCAACCTTTTTGAAAAATGATAAAAAAGGTTTCGTATATTTGCCTTTGAGCTAAACCTTTACTAACGTCTATCGATACGATAAGAAATGAGAAAAATAG